CCCTGCCGCTGCGCCCGTCCCTCGCCCGCTGCCTTCTCCCCCGGGTATGACCTGGGTTCGCACTGGCGGGGCGGAGCCGGCGGGGGAGGGCTCAGGGCAGGCACAGGGCAGAATTAGAAGCGGCCCGTCATCCGCGGAGGCCAGTTTTCACCCATGGAAATTACTCTGGGGCTAGTTCTGCAGTGGCATGGAAGTTGCAGCGGCTCCCCCCCATCCCTCCAATCTGCTGGCACTGCTTGCGCGGGAGTGAGGGGAGTCAATCCATGGGAAGCGGCACGGTCTAACGATGGGGTGCCTCCTAGTCTCCTCTCTGCCACCGACGTGCAGTTTGTCCGTGGCCAAGTTGCTTGACTTACATGCCTCAGTTTCCCCATCTGTAAGAACTGAGCACTACTAGCCTCTGTAAAGCACACTGGTACTCATGTGAAAGGCAGCCTATCGATCAAGGCAGAAGGGCCCAGAGTATCTGGAGGCCATCCATCCAGAGTGAATGAGACTCTGTTCAGTCTCATTCACTGAGTGATCTATTCATACAGCCTTAAAGCAATTCTCTGCCCAGTGCCTTGGCCATGCATTGCTTACTGGGACAGCTTCCCTCCCTTCTCTGGGATTTTTCCATGTCTCTTTCAGGGTGCAAATATTTCCTAACGGAACTAAATTGTTTATCCCTGTGGGTGGCTCTCTCTCACATTCATTTGCATCCTAATAGCAAACAAAATTTCCCCCTCTGTACTAGAGTCAGCAGGAGAGTTTGTACCAGTTGAACTGAAGGGCTGTCAGTCAAGCAGCAATGGTAAGCTTACATAAATGCTATCCAGCTTCCCTTCTGTAAACCAGGCCAGAGACTGAGGGATTATAGTTGGCATCAGATTAAAAGGCAGTTTCCAACTAATATGATCTGTTGCTTGTGGCTCAGGTGCCAAGAGCAACAGGTACTCCAAATAATCTGTGGGAAACTGAAAGCCAAGGATTGGTCATATTCTCCTTTCAAGTAGATGAAGTTAGAAGAATTAAAAAAAAAAAAAAGTTTTTCACTTTCTTAAAAGATTTATGGGAAATCCATTGCATTATAAAACTATATTCCAAAAGTTACTGGTAGAAGGAAAACTTGGGAGTATAATGACCTGAAAAATCATTGTTTAATTGGTTACTGATTTTGTAACCCTTTTGGAGGAGGAAAAAATAATTTAGGCAAGTTTCTCTTGAGCAGGTACTTAGTTTTGTGTAGCTGATGGAATGCTGGGTCCCTAGAGGTGAACAGCAGCAGGGCCTGCTTTTGTTGCAGGCTGTTGCTTTGATTCTGTGCTTTGGGAGAGAGAGGCCCCTAGAAGTGACCCACTCTGAAGTAGGCATCTCAGCTGTGCAAATTAGCCTGCAGTGGAATGTTACATGGTGAGATCTATCTTCCCTGCCTGCTGCAGCTCTTGTAAAGATGCAGGTAGCTACAAGCTGTCCTATTTGTACAAATTAGCTCTTGGGCTTCCAGTGAGTGGTCAATTATGAGAACCTTAGGTGAGCAAAGTTTTGGCTCCCCTGATTTAATACCTAAAATTTATCGTACAATAGGCCTGGAGGAGTTTAAGTTCTTGTCTCTTTCCTCACATGTAAAATGCATGAAGAAGAGAGTCCTTCATTCCAGGTCAGAGGCGATGTTCCCTCTAATTTTTTCCATCTAGGTGCAGAATTTTATGTGCACAGAGGCATGTACAAATGTGCACCACCAATAGAAACAAAACCTAGCTGTGGGCTCTCTGCTAATCAGCTGGGTGGCATTTGACTCTCCCTTGAGCAGCCATATATGCGCACAGCTTACAGGGAACTCTGGTCAAAGTCCTTCATCAGAGTTCTGAAAATGTGTGCATTAGTGTTCTCCCTCCCTTTCAGAGACTGACTCTTTGGAATCCAGAGCAGCAACACAGAGCTACTGACTCCAACTGTCTAAAGTATTCATTCACAAAGTTCTACATTCATTTCTTAACTTACATATTTTAAATGTAGGAAAATGATTAAAGAACATTTAAGGATGGCACTGCATACAATGGTGCCAATTCATCTTCGGCTGTGTGGCTTTTCTGGAAAATCTTCCATTTGTTTCCAAAAGCACAACCTCCAGGCTGAGTTATGCCCACAAACCAGTGCCTGTAGGTGTCAGGATTCAAAGTAGCAGTCTGTGAGTGGAACAGGATCTAGCTTTTGAACACTGTGACTTTTCAGAGTGAATCAGCCCAAAGGTATTTAGCAGAGATGTACACATTTAGGACATTCATGGTATTCCTTCGCACTCAGTCTCTTGCTCCCACCTGGTTCACATGGACCATGTCTACACTGCCGGCTTTTGCCAGCAGAGAGTATGCTACTGAAGTGCTCATTAGCATTTGTTGCACTGTCATTAGCATATTCTCTGCCCAAAGCTTTTTGCGCAAGAGGTTTTTGTGCAAAAACAAGCAATGCAGACGGATCCGTTTTGCGCAAAACCACCCTTTTGTGCAAGATGTGTATACCTCCTTTTTTGAAGCATAAGGATCTTGCACAAAAGGGAGTTTTTGTGCAAAACGGATGCGTCTACATTGCTTCTTTTTGCACAAAAACTTCTTGTGCAAAAAGCCTCAGGCAGAGAATATGCTAACAGCACAACAAAGGCTAATAAGTGCTTCATTAGCATACTCTCTGCCTGCAAAAGCTGGCCGTGGAGACACAGCCATGGTGTCCTGTAAGTACAAGACTGGCTCAAGGCCTGCTGGAAAGGGTTTATTTTAACACGGCCTGTGCTTGTTTTATCTAAATGTGCTTTTTATTTCTTTGCTTATGTGGAGAACAAGTTCTCCTGGCCCCTCTTGTCTGCAATGAGAGTCATCAGGCTCTCTGCTGTTTAACAGAGAACTCAATGAGAAGTGTCCATCAGACCTTACTACATTATACTGTAACAGTGAATAACGACACTACTTCATACCTACTTTGCATTTGTATTACATTCCATTCAAGGAACTCAAATCAATTAAGCCTGCCACCTTAAGGTGAAGTAGTGGGTTATTACCATCCCTAGCTGGCCAATGTGGAAACAGAGCCCCAAAGTGGTTAAGTGCAATGTCCAAGGTTGCACTGTAAATTAGTGACTGAATCGGAGACAGCATCTAAGTATCCTGACTCTACTGTCCTGTGCTTTAGCCACAGACAGAGCCTTCATAACTTACCTTCCCTTTCAAATATAATGAAGCCATAAAGATGACATTTCCTTACATGCTTGCAGTGAATGCCCAGTGGATGTGGGAGAAGCTATTCACGTTTGGAAAGTACAGGCAAAATTTATTCAATGGAATGGCCTGTGCCAGTTTATTTGCAAGGTTAAGAAAATAACAGGAAACAACTCTAATTGTAAGTCTATTATTGATTTTCAAAATCGACTCTGGTGGCACTGGCATAATAAAAACTGTTAGTCTTTAAGGTGCCACTGGACTCCTTGTTGGTTTTGCTGAAACAACATCTGAAATCAGATGTTGCATCTGAAACCAATTTACAAAATGCATGTCCTAGTCCCTTGTCCCTCCAAGAAACCAAAGGGGGGAGAACTGCTGGAAAGAAGGGTGTGTTTTTTAAGAAGAAACACACATTTCCTCTGTTCACCTCCAACCCTGCTCATAACAAAATCTCTGCCAGCCACCAAACCGCTTTTTCAAGCTACAGTCAGATCTAAAATGCTCTGCACATGGCCAAATGCTTAGAACGCCTCTGGCTGCTCCCACTGCCAAACATCTGCTCAACTAAGCAGCATTCCAGATAGGCCTCACCTTTTCCAGCTCCAAGGCAATGAGAAGGGGGAAGGGGAATTTTTTAAGAGAGTCTGCAATTTCTTTTGAGAATTAAATAGCTTGCCCACATGCGTGGGTGGTTTCCACAGATAAGAGAGGATGCGGCACATGCAAAGTCCCAGATGGCAATCTCCATGCTGCCTTCTCCCCGGCTAAGAATGCTGATGGACAAATGGGGTTTCCTTTTCTTTTTCATTTGACTCACAAAAGAGTCAAAAAACCTGAAAACCCCTGTAGAAAGGATGTGGGGGAAAGCAGCCAGCAGTGTGCGTACCACCCCTTCTGCTTTCCAGCCTCAGAACACAGTCTTAAATGTGTCTTAAGAAAAACCCTCCCTCTTTTCAAATGCTCCTGTCGACCTGGTTCCTTGGGAATCTTGCTCTCCCTGGTGATTTTATTTTGACCTCGGTAGATTCCTCAAGCTGGTGAATGGCTGCTTCTTCGTCTGGTTGCTGGCACCATCTGCGGGCCCTGTGAGTGAAGGAAGATTGAGATGTTTTTTATCACCATATTACAGGAGAAGTATCTTGCCTATGTGCATCACACAGCAAAGCAAGCACTAAGCCAGGGGTGGGGAATCGAAGGCCCTGGGCCTGGATGTGGCCCCTGGCTTGCCTAGATCTGGCCCCCAGAGCTCAGGGCTCCCCTCCAGTATTAGGGAGCCTGTGCTGGCGCTCCAGCCCCTATCACCCCACATGGGTCTGCAGCACACAAAATCTACTAGCATTCCCCCCTCCCCCGGCTCTGGTGTGCAAGGGGAATGTGAGGAATGTCTTTCTCCTTCTCAGTCGGGGGCCACATCAGAGAAGGTGGGTTGTTTTTTTGTTGTTGGTTGTTCTTTTTTGCTTTTGTGTGCACTTGTGTGCAGTCCCCGACTGATTTTTCTGTGGGTCAGTGGCTCCCAACCCAAAAAAGGTTCCCCACCCCTACACTAAGCCGTGGATCTCTATTTCCACCAGGTACTCTCAGCATTGGTCAGAGCTGAAAAGAGATCCTGGTGGTTTTGGGGCCAAACAAAAAGCCAGCTTCTCATTCATTTCCTTAAGCATTTGGGAGAATCACAGGGCAATGCATGAAATAGCAGGAGGATATTGTCGGACAGCTAGTTCATATGACAGCTGTGCTTCCTACATGGATCAGGCTGGGTTTGTGAGCACATCTGAAAAAGTTCTCTCCTCTTAAGGAGTTAGTTTTGGCTATTAGGGAGGAAGAATGTAATTGATATGTTTGGAATGCTGTGAGTTGTCTGCTGTGTGGCTTAAAGTTTGGCTGCAAGGGACGTACCCACAGGGTCACTTTTCCAAGCAAGCAGCTTGTGTGGCGTCTACCGTGCATTCAACTAGGACTATGACAGAGCAAGCACCATAATAAAGAAAGCAATAGCTGAACACCGATGTCTTCCATACTGACCTTTGACCTGCTTTTGTAGGACTTGCCCTCTGGTCTGATATGCATTGCTCTGCTGAACTGTGCTTGGGGGCGTGTTGCCTATTTCTAGCACTTGTAATGGACTGCATTCTTGGTAGCATGAGAGAGAGACAAGATACATTTACTATAAATAGTGGGAAAGGAACAGAGTGTATGTAGCAAAGAATGACAATTCAATATATAGGATTCACTAATGGACCAGATGAAATGAATGGAAAGGCTGCAAATGAAATGCTGACTGTATCTATCTTTTGGAAAGAAACTTAAAAAGGAAAGAATTTCACATTGGTGGAAGGGATCAAGATAAGGAGTGAGACTTTTAAAGCCTCCATAGGGGTCTGAATGTCGGATTCCAGTTAGAATTTAATGGGAATTGGGCATCCACTTCCCCTAACCAGCTTTAAAAATCCCACCCTGAAGTCCTCCATGTTTAGCCACAGATTGGGTGGAGAGCCAATCCAGCAGCAGTCCGAATACCACGTACCTCAACCTGACCTGGCCTGGTTAGCCCTAAGTCTGTGAGGTTGTTATACAGCCTGTTTGACCTCTTTGCTAAGGATGCAAAGATGGAGGCCATGGGACAGCCAGTTCCAGTTGTGGACACGTGTCACCTGGGCACAGGTCAGAAACCAATACAGCCAGTCTCCGTGTTGCAAACGGTCGAGTTACGACTGTTCGCATTTACGACCAAAGCTCCTATGGAGCGGTCGTAAAGGCGGGCCCCAAGTTACGAACGCGACCCGCGCTTACGAAGAGCGCAGTTGCTATGTAACTCAATGGGGTCCGAGTTACGAACAGATCGAGTTATGGCCAAGTGTTTGGTCTGTAACTCGTTCGTAACTCGGGGAGAGGCTGTAGCTTGTTTCATGTATGGGTCTGAACAGAAGTGAGATGATAACTTTTGGTCACGACAGTACGAGGACATATTTGAGCCAGTGGAAACACTCAAGAGGAAATGCTTCTGAAATCCCATTTGCCCATCATGAGCCATCAAGTCTACCCAGCTGAAACACATTTTTGGTGCACAATTTTGCTCTTTAACTAAATTCATTTTTAGCACAAACCTCTGCTGTGGCTTGATTCTCAACAACTAATCTACAGATATGAAGTCACTTCAGGAACAGTGAGTCCTACCTGTGTGATGACCGATGGGGAATTTCACCTTTGTGGCAGCAGCAGTGACATGGGATAGGTTGCTCATGACCTTCAACATCTGGAAGAGTTTAGCTCGGGGCAGCTGGTCCTCACACACACAGTCCATATTGTGGCTTGAGGAGGTCCAATGTTTTGTTTTCGAGAGCTGAAAGACACCAACAAGAAAGCGTTAGACATGAACCTCCCATTTCAGGAGGCTTTGTTCTCTGTTGGTGGGTCGCACTACATCAAAAAAGGATCCCTCGCTCCTTTGTTAGTCTCAGGCTGTCTTTTAGGAAGGGGTAGAAAAGTACTAAGGATGTGTGATGTGCCAGCGTGAGTTATTCAAAACATTATCTGTGTTTTAGCTCAGTGCTTCCTCCATCCCTGGGCGTAGCCTTATCCTCTGACACTACTGTATGCAACCTGTTTCTCCAATCATTTGTGTCTGCTGCTGCACCCATTCCCAGTGGCTTCCTTTCACTACTGCCTCCAAAACCACCTCAGCTAAGTCCTCCACCTGGTCCCTGCCTGATCTGCCCTTCCCTCCCAAAGGAAACATACAAAGTGTCTACCTTTTGAGAGGTTAGTTCCAGGGAGCGAGATCTTTTCTTCCTGGTTTTCCTCTCTGTGGATTTCTCTTGTTCCTTCTTCAAGTCTCTCCTGGCTGGGTAGTGCAGCTGCTCCTTTCTCCGGGGTTCTGCTGGGATGCTTTCGATATTCATGGTGTCTTTCACATGAGGCTCTGGAGTGAAGTGAGAATGCTGATTTTTTGGCTCCAACATATCCTCCTCAAAGGAGTGCCCCGAGGTGAGTTCACTCGTATGGAATCTGCGCTGAGCGCGGGAACGACGGCTGGCTGCAATGCGGGAGATGCTTTTGGTGCTAATAGCAATCTCCGTCAAGGCTTCCAGACTCAGTGAGGCAAGAGTGATCTCTGCAGCCGACTTTCTCCTATTTAAGTCCAGGGAGGTGGGGGAACATAGAGTGGAAGTCATCTTTCCTGCTGTATCGCCAGTTGGCTTCTGCTAGAAACCAAAGCCATAGAATCAAACAACTCAGAATTTGCTTTTTACTTAACACTTAAGGTGTCTTTCATCTTCCAAGTCTGTTACAAAGATGAATCAATTACTACCACACTCCAGAGAAGTTGGTACCAAATCCATTTTTGCAGATGGGGAAACTGAGGTAGACCACGTAAGAGAAATACCCAAGGTTACAAAAGGAGCCAGCCTTGGAATTAGAGCCAGTAGTAACAACTGCCTTTTGGTTCTCTGCTCAGGCATTAGGCCATGTCATAGTCACTCCCAAAGTGTCCACAAATTAGCCCCAAAAGAATCCTGTGATTAGATTTCCTAAAAGAACTTTACAAGGGCTCCATAACAGGAGGTGACACCAGAAAGTACCAAACTCCATCCAGCTTCAGCTTCTCTGGGAAACAACCAACATCCCTGGGTCTGAGTATTGCCACCTCAATGCAAATGTCAGAGATGCTTGACACCCAGGCAAGAGTTACCTCGTCATCTTCCTCCCTCCAGACAGACACACATACAAATATTACTTCGTGCCTTCGATGCACTGAATAGAAAATTCATTGGTCATGGGGACCTGACCAATGATCAGAGAGTAGGGATGTTACATTTCGATTAATCGGCTAATCAAATAGTCAATGCAATTTGCATTGACTATTCAATTAGTCAATAAGTGCACCTCCATCTTGGAAGCACTAAGTGCTGCAGGGAGCAAGGGGACAGCGGGGGACTCAGGCAGTCCTCAGCTGGCCCTCTGCTGTACGTGACATTTCAAAACAGCTGTACCGGGTGGAGCCCAGGGTCTGGCCCCGGGCTCTATGCAGCGCTGCCACTTTGAAACATCCCCTCCTCTTCTGCCCCTCCACCACTGCTTCTTTCTGATAGAGGCATGAAGGGGAGCGGGGAAGCAACTAGTTAACTAGTGTATCAACTATCCAATAAGAATTTGCTTATTGGATTGTCGACTAGTTGTTCACATCCCTAATCAAGAGGTGTCTGGTAGCTGTTACATGACTCCCTGCCCTATAATTTATGTAGTATTGATCAAGGTATTTGTATGACTTACATCACAGGGATACCAGAGCATTTCATGAACATTCATTTTTCCTTCTCATCTGCATAGTAGGGATTATTACTGTAAGCAGGGGCTGAATGAATGCTTCAGCTAGAATGGGAAAGAAACCCTGAGGGCATTCATGTAAATACAGTTTGCCGCTGGCTTTGCTTAGATGTGTTAGATATTCAGCTGATGGAATAGTGTTTTGCTCTGTGGAGGCAGGAAAAGGGAATAAGGGAATTTGTGTGCAGCCATCTTGGTCTTGTTAACAAGAGAGCAAGAGTCAGGCTAAGTCTGTGGCCTGACAATGCGAGATCTGTAATTAGACGCTGCCTTTGCCTCTCGCCTCCATACGGAGATAAGGATAGAATGCTGACTCTGGTAGGGACCTTGAGATAAGGAGCATCTGGGTGGAACTAAATAACTGTTAGCCATTGGTGTTTGTAATGGGAAGGAGACTAATTGTTATTGTTATTATATTTAATAGACAGTATATAAACTGCTTCATAATTGCTTATATTCGAAGATCTGCCTCGGTGAGGAGGGGGACTCCCCCCCTGTCTGAACCAGTTTTTCCCTTGCTGCAGCTCGTAATAAAACTGCCTCTGGCTACTTGTTGCTTACAAACTCAGAGTGAGGACAATGTTTTCTTCCACAGCTCATTGTAATCAACCTGGCTGGTGTTGGTCACAAATTGTGGTAACACTAATTACAATGTCTGTAAAGATTGTGGGAATACAAAAGAAGAAAGTCTGTGCTTAACCTGGCACAAAGGAGAGAGACACTGTCAGTAACTAAATAAACTTAGATGGACGGAGACTCCCCTTCCAGAGCCCTGTGAGATTAAGCTGGGGAGGGCAAGACTGAGTCAGCAGGCTACATGACCGCCAGACGTGAGCTGTAAAACTGGTTCAACCTTTTTCTCCCCACTGTTTCAATGATAATGCTGAAGACAGGCTCCATACAGAGTCTCTCTTATTATTTAAATTTACTCTAGTGGATGCTGGAATTTCTTGTGACTGGACTGTGCTTTGGGCCAAGAGCTGAAATCACTAGATTTAACCCAGAGCCAAATCTACCACAAGCTGGTGGCAGCAGGATGAGCAGCCAACAGAGTGGCGATGGAAGGGCGTAATGAGAAGGCAGCAGAGCGACAGCAGCAAGGTGAGACTAATGGCCAGCAGGGCAGCACCAGAAAGCAGCGAGCAGGCAGATGGTGGGTGACCAGTGGAGTGGGTAAGATGCCTCTTTACCTCCCCACTCTGGATGGGAGGTGAACTCTGCGGATGCACCTCTGAACACTGGGTCTGCCCTGACCCACGGCAGCAACTGTGAGTGGGGTGCAGAGAAGAGTTGGGCATGCGAAGGGGGAATTTACATTGCCTGGGAGGAAAAGGACAATGCCCAACCTACTTCGGATGGGATTGTTATTCATAGGTTTGGTTAGTTATGAACGCCATTTGTGGTGTTTTCCCTGATTAATGCCATACTACTTCCCTCTCTTTTTTATTAAAAGTTTCTTTTTCTACACTCTCTGCTTGCGGGTGGGGACGCATTGCCTCTCAGAGGCGCTCCGGGGTGTGGTGTGAATTTCCCAGGTTACTGGGTTGGGGCTCGAGCCAGTTCTGTGTTGGATGGATGGAGAGAGACCCCTAGATATTGAACCTGGCCCCGGCTGCTGCTGGCACTGTTTGGCAGAAGGGTTACACTACTATCTCTGATGTATAGACATACTATTGGGGCCTGTAGGGATCAGCTGATTTGGCTAAGTCTATTGTAGAGGTGAGAGTAGAACCCACAGCCGGGGCCTGATTCCAATGCCTGATTAACGTTCTGCACATGAATATTTATCTTCCTCATCTAGAAAACTACTCTCAACGCCTCAGTGCATCGTGCAGCGATGATGGGTCTGGCTGCTGCAGGCACTCTGTTCTTGCCAGAAGAAAGTGCTCTCTCTGGCAGCTAGACCTTGAACTTTGTACCCGCCAGTACTGACCTGGTGCAGCGGGGTTCTTGCAGAGTGACAGAAAGTAGGGCTGAGATGGGTGTCTGGATTCCCCAGTTTCTTAACAGGTGTAGTTTTAGATGATCTGTAGCTGTCACTGTGAAAAACACACTCACATGAACAGACTGAACTACATGCATAAGAGCCAGGCCTTTAGAGAGAGAACAGGCATGGGAAAAGCCAGACACAGCCCTTCTGGAATGTTTGGAGACAGGACTGATTTAAAAGCAAGGGAGGGCAGATTTAGGGTGGAAAGAGAACCTCAGAACTCAGGGAAACAGAGGACCCCAAACCCATTTAAAAGAGCTTTATTAATATGCATTGGTTTTCTCACTGATTGGTTTAGAACCAAAGTCCCCCACCCTCACCCCATTCACTCACTCCCTGGAGAAGATTCCTCCTAAAACAGAGCTACCTTGCAATTGCATAATAGAGCAAGGACTGCTGGTTTGCTTTTCTGGAGGTTCTTCTAGCATGGTATCTCATTTGGGGTCTGGCCTCTAGGAACCAAATCTGGCTTGGGACTCATGTTGGAGAGACTTTTGAGGACAGGGAGAGGCTCTGCATCATTGAGCGACATTCATCTTAGTATGTATATTACTGGAACGTCTTTGATTTCCCTTTTCCGCTCTCCTGCCCAGCCCCCATAAGAAAAACCAGTGCAGGTTTGCACTGTGTCTGTCAAATCACCTCTCATTCCTGTTTGATTCTGCCATTGCTTTGATCTCCGCCCAATAAATTGCAGTTTTATATTTTCCATGTCAGATGATGCCTCCATGAGCCTAATCCTACTCATACTGAAATCAGCATGGGTTTTGCCACTGGTTTCTATAGGGTCAGAATCAGGCCCCTGGAGTAATATCACTGTTACTGAATTTCTTAAGGTGACGTGATTTTTCACCTTTGTGCAAACAGCATCTTCTGAGAGCCCAGGACTTGGGCAGAACATGAAAAGATTGCAGAGTTCAAACCAATACCAAACCCCTGTGGCATAGGAGATGCATGCCCTAAGGGTATGTCTAGACTACATGCCTCTGTCGCCAGAGCCATGTAAATTAGACTACCCGACATAGTCAATGAATCTGGGATTTAAATATCCCCGGCTTCATTAAAATAAAAATGGCCGCCGCGCTTTGCCGGCTCAGCTGATCGTCGGCACAGCGTGTCAGTCTAGACGCGGCACCACGTGGCTCGGTCGACAGGGGAAGCCTTTGTTGGCCGATCCCTGTCTAGACTGCCGCGCTGTGCCAACGATCAGCTGAGCTGTCACAGCGCAGCAGCCATTTTTATTTTAATGAAGCCGGGGATATTTAAATCCCGACTTCATTGACTATGTCAGGTTGTCTAATTTACATGCCTCTGGTGACATGTAGTCGAAACATACTCTAAATGTGTAACAGACTGATGTCCCTTTCAACCTATCGATAGGAGCAGATGAGTGGTGCATCAGTCACATTCAAAATATAACCCCAGTCTCTCCCCCAGTCACACACAATCCAACCCAAAAAAGATAATGGGCAAGTTACGTAGGATACAATTAAAGTGTTGACAGACCCCTAGCCATAATTGCATGGGTTGCACACTGTAATTGACTGCTGAGCTGCAAGACCCAGGATCAGCCCATTCTCCAGGAAGGATGGAAATGCATTCACCTATCTGACTCCAAGACGATGGATGGAAGTTCAAATTTCGCTCCACAAGGAAGATCCTTCTTGTTGCCAGAGAGCACTTTTCTGGCCTCTTCTTTGTTTAGGTCCAGCTGATGAGCTATATTCAATGCAGAGCCACACTGGGACCACAAAAGAAAAAGAGGTTGGTGGAAGTGTAAACAGACACAGCAAAGATGTTTTTCAGTACAAACCCCTCTTTCTACTCAGCTTCTTTAAACATAGATCTCCAAATGCAGTAGCCACCTGCCCTTTCTTGAACCCCTCATCACATCCTGCATTTTGTTTCATTTTGAGACACAGCTTTGGTCTGGCACTGAAGAAGCAAGGAGAAAAAGTGGAAAGGTGCCTGGGGCATGTAAGAGGGTTTCCCCAGTTCACCTGCTTCTGTCAATCCTCCAGCCCACAAACCGAAAGGGGGTTGTTTGGTTCAAAAGGCATCAATCCACAGCACAGCAAAGCTTCCCAACACACGCCCAGTTATTGATGGAGTCTTTGCAACAAGGTCAGCCTCCTAATCACATGCGGGAGATTGGCTGATGAAGCATATGTAGTTTCCTTCTTCAGGATCCAAAGCCACAACCTGCCATCATGCATCAACATTAAAGAGAGTATCTGGAAGAAGTTTGGTTCCTGTATATCTGTGGTGTGCAACCTGTTCTGAAGCCTTAGCCACTATAGCCACACTCAACCAGCCAAATGGCGAGGGGAGAGACAGGCGGGGCTGCTCTGGCCAGGCCAGGCCGACAGGTAACCATAACCGGTAAGCATCAGTAAGGGTGATGCTTACTGATTAACCATTCACATCCCTACCTCCAACCCAACATGATAGGGGACTACCCTGCCCCTTCCAGCTGTCTCTTGGTTCCTCTCTACCTCCAGAAGCCTTAAGCTCTGAGTGAAACAAGAATAGATCCATTAAATAACAAGTATTCCCACCTAAGTAACACCTGAACGTCAGCCATTCCGCAGAAGGTGGGCTGAAGAGGACCATCTGCTGAATGGTGACTGACCTATTATCCTCCCCAAACCAGCATGTGGCGTGGTATGGAGGCCCCAGTCCAGAAAAGCACCACGTGTGGCACTGAATAGAATTCACTGAGAGTGTGCTGGGTTCAGCCCTGCCTCACCCTCAATGTGCTGGACGTCATTGAGTGAATCAGGAGCAGGCGGGTCAGGGTCCCCTCCTCTAGCTCATGGTAGTACAGTTGATACAGCATCCTCAGCGTCTCTGGGACAGGGATGTCATGGCCTAGAGCAGGGATGGGAAAGGAGAAAGTTAGGGATCACGGAAGAAGGAACCGAGAGCCTGATTTGTCAAAGGGGCTGAAAACCCACAGCTTACATTAAAGCTAAGGAGGACAGAGCAGAATTTGGCCCACAAGCAGGAAGGTCTTTAGATGGAATTATTTTTAGCCTTCTCCATTCGCTAGCTAATAATTTCTAATATTCTCCATTTGTTCCTCAGCTGCTCTCTCTCCAGACAGGAAGAGGGTTGGAATTTTACCTTTGAGCAGCATTTGCTGCTGCTGAATGATTTCCTCGCAGAGCAGCCTGTGCTGCTGGTGCCGCTGGATGACAAAATCCTTCTGGCACAGCAGGTTCTCCCTGTACAAGGCATTTGCCTGCAACTCCGTGTTCCCCACTTCCAGCTCGTGAGCCTTGCAGAGAAGCCTCAGCACCTCTCGTTGGTCTTCACTGGTGATTTGTTTGGGTAACAGCTTCTCCATCTGGGAGGCTTTTTTCTTGGCGTTGGCCAAGCGCTGCTCCAGCTCGGACTGAAAAGGAAGACGAGGACTTGCATGCACCAGTGGGTCTGCACTTCATTTATTTATGAAATGCTCAAGATACAGCTCAGGCGTCTGAGCCAGTGCCGCTACACCTACCCCTTCCCAGAAATGGGATACGTGCACATTTTGTTTAGCAATGATGATGAAGCTCATTTATATTCTGGTAGGGTTGACAATGTGGCTAGGCAGCATCCAAGCACACAGGAGGAGAGAGTCCTCCAGCCTGAAGAATGTACCAATGGGAAATGCTATTTAAGCATAAAGAATTATTGGAGTACTGTACAAACATTGGCTAGTGAATCCACATAGCACCCCTAAGAAGGAGGTACAGAAACACTGTCTTCATTTTATATGTGAGGAAAAGCACATAGTTTGTGGCTTGCTCCAGTAAGAAGAAATCAGAGGCGGATCCAGGATTAGAACTCAGGAGTTCCTAGTCACTAGCTCAGCAAGGGGCAATCTAGGCTACTGAATGGGCCACATGAGTAGCCCTCCTTCATCTCAGTGGGCTGGAAGATTGTTGCAACCAAGATGGCTCCTGGGACAGGGTGGTTTTGCTCACTGTGCTTGCGTATGTTGGATTTGCAGGATGCGCCGACTGAACCGTGCCAGAGCTTTGATTGGATGTAGGGGAAGCACACGGCTCTTACAGTCAATGCTGTGTGCAATCAGCACGCTCCTCACTTCACCTGCCCTGGCTTTACATGTGTGTCACTTTAATAATACCAGTAGGAAAAAAAACAACACGAAAGGAAACCAAAGGAATCTGGCAACCCTACATGCGGGCAATAGTAAATAAAGTGTCACCTAGTAGCCAGATGGGCCGCTGCTTGCCCACCAATGCAATGGCTCCATCCAATCCATGTTATCCATATTTAAAAGTTCCTGTAAACTCCCCTGCATGACCTTCCTGAATACTGGTGTAATGATTTCCCAAAGCAACACTCCCCAACGACTCATAACAAATATCCTTCTGCTTCCCAGTGGGAAATACAAGTACAATCTCTTCCCCTTAGTTTTATGACGGTGTCAGGGTGCAAGCCGCCTCAGTGCCCCCTGACTGTCCTCATCTAGCCCCTCTCAAGGCAAGTTACAGTCTGTATGGGTTGCTCATCATTGGCATTGGGGTTGTCTCAACTGCCCTGCTTACGTAGGCTGCATCATGATCCGCCTCCAAACCAGGGTTTTGTCTAGAGCCCCTAGTCAGGGGGAGTCTTGGCTGGCCCTCTCCCAGCCCTAACTGGCTATCCCCAGCTTGTCTCCCTCCTAGGAACTCCTGCTTCCTCCGCAGTCAGCCCTTCACTGGCTCCCCCCATAAGCAAACTGTGCTTCTCTATATAGCTGCCAGCTGGGCTCTCCCTAGCCCAAACATCTTCAGCTGGCCTCTCTGTTTCCAGCCCCTGCTCAGGGCCTGAGTTCTGGTCTTAAAGGGCTAGTGCAGGGCAGGCGCCCTGTCACAGACAGTAAATGAAGCAGTGTCACAAAAGCCTGTGTTGTAGAGTCGTCTGTACCAGTGTTTCTCAACCTTTTTTTTATAAAGTACCCCTTTTAAAAAAAAATTGTAAGTACTCCCTTAAAAAAAACAACCTATAAGTGCCTCCAGTACCTACAGTTTTCAGACACACACAATTTTTTTTATCCACTGCAACACATTTGTTGAAACAACGTAATTGTAGCCGGGTGGGCAATGAAATTTTTGGGTGTGAAAACAACAAAAATAATAAAGCGCTGTAAAACTTAAAATAAAAATTCAGTTTTCTCCAAATTTCAGTTGTGCTGATGTACTCCGCCCCCTCCCCCGACTTCTCTCGAGTACCCCTAAGGGTACTCGTACCACTAGATGAGAAACACTGGTCTGTACAGCATCTTTCAGAACTTGGATTCTATGCTGAGTGGCCAGAGGGGACCTCTGCACACAACTGACTGCTCAAGTGCATTTGCTGTTTCCTCCTTCAGGTTCTCTGGTGTCTAAAGTGCTGGCTCTCCCTCCATGTGGTGCCCCACTACCCTGCTGACCTCACACTCACTCAGACTCCAGCTGAAGCACAGGACCAGGCTATGGAGAGGTCACCTGGTTGATGTTCGCTCTCACCTTTAAGGCTGCTGTTTTTCGCTGCTCTGCCAATAGCACGTTGATTTCCTCTCTTGCCACGGTGACTTCATGAGGTTCAGGGGAATCTGCCTCCTCTACTTCTCGGTCTGCCTCCTCCATGTTTTCATCTTCCTTTCCATTCACCAGCTTGTTATGACACTTCTGAGCATGTTGAGTCTTCTCTCGTTCCCAGCTGCCAGCAAAAACACAAGAGTGAAAACCATTAACTTCCAAGGGCCCAGCAACAGTTACTCGAACACTTGTTAGCCAGTAATCCCATGACATATTTATTTAGTTTTTTATGCCTTCCCCATTTCCTTTTGCATGGCAACAGCTGAGCTAACCATACCAATCCTGACAGCACCATGGCTGGTACCTAGCATATAGCAGCCAGCAAACAATATCCTAGTTTCTGGGAGGATACAAAGAGTCTTCAGTGAGATGTTTAAACTGTAACGAAGCACTGCCTCTTCCATCACTACAAGCTGCTGTAGCAGCAGCTGCATAGAGATGTTTACTAGACATATGTCATCTAATGAAGATTCTTTTTCTGAGTTTTATATTTCTACAAAAATGTATACAGGGGTTGAACAGACTGATAGGTAACCAATTAGCACCATACCCAGAACTTAAAACTACTCAGAGTTTGTCCAATAGCAAAGGCTGGGTTAGCTCTATTTACAATGGGAACGTGGAGAGAACACATCATTAGCACCAGGCAAGGTACCCCCTGAATTGAGGATGTTAAGGCCAACAATTCAGGTTTGCCATCACAAGTTAACATAGATTTCAATAAAAACTCAAGTCCTAGATCAGACATAGGGTTTTTTGGGGGGAAAAGTCTAGTGTTTTCACTCTCTGTTGTAGCTCTAAACTTGATGCTGGAGAAAGACAATAGAACCACCTGCTCTAAATAGTATCATTGCTTTGCATCAATTATAATTTTAACCACATGCAGCCTCTGACGAATGAAAAACTATTCTCACTCCTTGCTTAATTGCACAATAGTGGTTAAAAGCCAGAGCTTCCCATAGTGGAGATCCAGTCCCTGTGGAAAGACACCACCTTGTGTTTCTACACATTAATGTTGCAACTATAACTGATAACTGCCATGTGTTGAAACCTGACTTCAACTGTTCTCTCTCACTCCCATCAGAAGCACTAGAAAGGATTTGGTGCTCGTGCCCTGACGGCAGAATCCCCTTTCTATCATAAGTCTCCGAGGAGTGGCCATGTTAGTCTGCATCTGCAAAAACAACAAAGAGTCCTGTGGCGCCTTACAGACTAACAGAGATTTATTTGGGCATAAACTTTTGTGGATAAAAACAACTTTGTCAGATGCACGAAGTGGAAATTACAGAGGCAGGGATATAGATATAGGTACTAGAATATGTAAAGTAGGGATGTTCAATAGGTAGCAGGATGTAATAGGGTCACCGTGTAGCTGCTGGAAATCTCAGCAATTTCACGCACTGAGGACTAAGCTTTATATTGAAGAGCCCGCAGTGAAGCCTCCCCAGGAGGAGGCTTCACAGTGGCAAGGAAGCCACCTCCGCAGGGAGCGGAGTGGGCAGCCCTTCCCCACCCAGCTCCCAGGGAGGAAGCATGATGTTGTGAAGGCCAGAACTTTAACAGGATTCAAAAAAGAGCTAGATAAAGCCATGGACGATTGGTCTATCAATGGCTGTTAGCCAGGATGGGTCGCAATGGTGTCCCTAGCCTCTGTCTGTCAGAGGCTGGAAATGGGTGACGGGGGATGGTTCACTTGATTCATTCTGTTCATTCCCTCTGGGTCACCTGGCATTGGTCACTGTTAGAAGACAGGACACTGGGCTAGATGGACCTTTGGTCTGACCGGCTGTGTCTAGGCTGGCCAGGTTTTCTGGAAAATCAGCCGCTTTTCCGGAAAAACTTGCCAGCTGTCTACACTGGCCGCTTGAATTTCCGCAAAAGCACTGACTTCCTACTGTAAGAAATCAGAGCTTCTTGCAGAAATACTATGCTGCTCCCGTTCAGGCAAAAGTCCTTTTGCGCAAAACTTTTGCGCAAAAGGGCCAGTGTAGACTGCTCGGATTTGTTTTCCGCAAAAAAGCCCCGATCGCAAAAATGGCAATCGGGGCTTTTTTGTGGAAAAGCGCGTCTAGATTGGCACAGACGCTTTTCCACAAAAAGTGCTTTTGCGGAAAAGCATCCGTGCCAATCTAGACGCTCTTTTCCGAAAATGCTTTTAACGGAAAACTTTTCCTTTAAAAGCATTTCTGGAAAATCATGGCAGTCTAGACATAGCTACCCAGTATGGCTGCTCTTATGTTCACTGCCCTGCTGCAGTGAAGCCACCTCCCTGGAACTAACATCATTAATCCGTAAACATCTGCTTATGGTGAACACTCTAACATCCCTAATGAGCAGAAGGGTTCATTAGGGATGTGCTACCTACCAAGTGTAGGACCACAGTTAACAAGGCCAATCCAATCAGGAGGGGGCTTACTCCCAGCAGCTGATGGGGAGGTGTGACTACCAAAAGGCCTCCTGTCATAGTACAGCACTTCCAATTAAATCACTATGCCCTATCGGGCTCTTTTGCTCGGCAGTCTGAGACCCCTCTGCCTGACCAGGCTGAACTACTGTAAATGTTTTATCCCCTTCTCCCTTTTAGAAAAGTCTCATTTCCAAAGTCAGATACAGATCTGGGTATTTTTCAAGGCGTCTCTTCCCCCTGCAGAGCCCTGAAATACTCACAGCTACCACATTCTTGCTCTGCAGCAGCACCCCACCCTAATCTGGCGACTGAATCCATGCAGGATATTCAGGGAACAATTGACTTATTGCTCAATAGGGGCACATTGCTCCACCTTATTCTTAACAATCCCGCACTGCAGTAGGGATGGAGGGCACTTTGCTGGAGATGCTCATGTCTGGGCTCAAAGGTTGCTCTCTCCTTGTTGGTTCAATCTCTCCTGTGCGCCGACCTATTCTAACCACTAGAACAATTGCCAAAGGGACAGTTATATGAGCTATTCTGTATGCATATGGAGGTGACTGGTGTGTGACATGTAGTGAACCAAGAAACTGGATCAGAAACACTTTATTTCTTACTGAAAACACAGGCTCTGTCTACACTGCAATAGGGAGGCAGGTTTGGAGCACATGTAGGTATCCCTGAGCTAGCTCACTAAATATAGCAACGTAGCTGTATTGGCAGTATGTCCTCAGCATCCCAGGTAGGACCATACTCAGGTGGTCAACTTGCATCGTCACTAGTGCACTGCTTTTTTTTTTTAGCAAGTTAGACCAATCAAAGCTAACTCCAGTATGCCTGAGTGAATAAGGAAAAGTTATTTACTTGTTCCCATAATATAAGAACTAGGGGGTCACCAAATGAAATTAATAGGTAGCAAGTTTAAAACAAACGAAAGAAAGTTTTTCTTCATGTAGCGCTGTCAACCTGTGGAACTCCTTGCCAGAGGATGTTGTGCAGACCAGAACTTTAACAGGTTTCAAAAAAGAACTAGCTAAATTCAAGAAGATTAGGTTCATCAATATTTATTAGCCAGGATAGGTTGGAATGATGTCCCTAGCCTCTGTTTGTCAGAGGCTGGAAATGGATGACACGAAAGGGATCACTTCATGATTGCCTGTTCTCGTGGGCGGTTGGTATAGCTGGGGCTCGGGGATGCAGGCCCCCAGCCTCACCTACAGCTCCGCCCCCTCTGTTAAGGCCCCGCCCTTGATAGGGAGAAGGTGGGACAGTGCACCAAGTGCACCCACCCAGTGCAGGACAAAAGGCAGCGCCCAAGCACTCCCCAGCCTCCCTGGAGCACTGGGGAGGGACAGAGAAGCGGGGCAGCACGCCGAGTGCCCCCCACCTTCCCCAGAGCACCAGGGAGGGCAGAGAGGCGAGGGGAGCATGCGGGCAGTCCAGGTCCCAGAGAACCATGCACGGTAGGGAATAGGCAGGTCAGCACGCCGAGTGCTCCCCAGCCTCCCTGGAGCACTGGGGAGGCTCAGAGACGTGGGACAGCGTGCTGGGGAGGGGAAGAGAGACAAAGGGAACATACACACAGAGCAGTTCCTGGAGCACCGGGGAAGGGAGGTGAGGTGTCAGGGCAGGTGCAGAGCACTGGGGGAGGGGAGGCAGTCACGTGGTTCCATCCTCTGGCCAGGAGCAATGGGGAAGGCAAGTGCGGGAAGCAGCAACACTCCACCTCCAGAACACCTATAGCAGGTAATCTGTGGGCAGGGAGAAGCTGGTGGTCCTCTGCCTAAGCCACCAGACACCCATGCCTGTTCTGTTCACTTCCTCTGGGGTGTCTGGCATTGGCCACTGTTAGAAGACAGGACACTGGGCTAGATGGACCTTTGATCTGACCCAGACGGCCGTTCTTATGTTCTCCTGATGCCATCTAGAAACAAGTGCCTTTGGCGGAAGCTGGAGCTATGTGACTTTAGGATCTCTCATAGCGTTGGCAGGGATCTGCATATTAATTTTGTGCTCATCACTAAGGGTGTGTCTAGACTACAGGGTTTTGTCGACAAAAGTGGACTTTTGTTGACAAAACTATACCTGCGTCCACACTGCCTTTGAGTTATGTTGACATAACGTTGACAAAACTCAGCAGTTTTGTCGACGTATGTAAACCTCATTCTACGAGGAATAATGCCTTTTGTCGATAGAGTTCTGTCGATAGAAGGCATTATTGCATCTACACTGTCCTTTGCGTCCACACTGTTATGTCGACAAAGCGGCTTGCTTTGTCGACAGAACTGGATGTAGTCTAGATGCTCTTTGTCGACAGAAGCTTTGTCGACAGTATCTGTCGACAAAACTTCTGTCAACAAACCCCTGTAGTCTAGACACACCCTAAGTGCCCAGCCATGCAGTGGACGTACTCACTCGGCAATCGTTAGCAAATGCCTGGAGGTATCGATGTGTAGCTCAATGTTCGTGTTCTCCAGCTCCATGAGACTGCGGCGCATCTCCATTTGCTCCTTGAAAGCCCTGATCAGCTGCTCTCGTAACTTGTTCATCTCTTGCCGGCTGTATGCCTCGGAATCCTGATGCTCCTCCACTGTGGAAGAAAACAACAGCTTTCCTGCTTCCTATCTGCAGCATGTCAGAGCTACCCCATGGGACTGATAAGGGCCAGAAGTGATTCCTTTGGGGGCTAGTCATCCATTCCATGTTCCATGAGGCACACCTGATACAAACCTTTGTCAGTCTGCGATGCGGAGGGTCAGTGACAGTGTTGTACTTTGAAGCCAACGGGACTGCTAAGTTTAAACTTGTGCTATGCTATATCATGGCCAGTTACCCCTAAATCATCTTTCAGTTTCATCAGTGCTGCTTGGAAGGGAGTGGTGAGAAGCCTGCATTACAGGGGCATTGACAGAACCCTTCCTTGTTACCTGGGAGCTGTTTTCTCTGAAAAATGGCCTAAGATATTGTAACTGAGATCCACTGATCTTTGGAAGAAGGAGGGGTGGGAAGGGCTTGTCGGTCAGACACCTTTACAATTTTCTGTTAAAAGGAACATTCCCCACAGTGAGATCAACTGAAAAGTGACTCTGGAAACAAAATTATTCCAGAAACTGAAACAAAAATGTCTGGCCTGACACTGCTAGAGAACCTGGAGGTGCACGGCAGCAAAGCAATCATAATTACATGAGAATCATTACAGAATCAGATAGGGATGTAAGCAACTAGTCGACTATCCGATAAGCAAAAGCTTATTGGACAGCCGACTAGTCCCTCGACTAGTCACTTCTCCCCCACCTTGCTGCCTCTACTTGAGGCAGCAAAGGGGAGAGCAGGAGCCGGTGCTTAAAAGCATCTGCGAGGGGCAGGGGAGGTAGGAGGGTAGCAGGGACCAGGCGCAAGCCAGGAATCAGCTGATTCCTGGCTCGTGCCCAGTCCCAGATGCTGCACCTCTGCTTTTTAAATGTATTAAGAGCTTGCCGGCTCTTAATACATTTAAAAATCAGAAGTGCGGGGGTGGGAGGGGGACCTGGCACAAGCTGGGACAGCTGATTCCTGGCTCACGCTGCGCTTTAGTCTTTTAAATATATTACAAGCCGTTAGAGGTTAGCTCCCGGGTCAGGGATGGTCTAGTACTGGGTCCTGCCATGAGGGCAGGGGACTCAACTCAATGACCTCTCAAGGTCCCTTCCAGTCCTAGTATTCTATTATTCTATTATTCTAATCCCACTGCGGCTACCCCACTTTTCAAAGACAGATAAACCTCATTTTCCTGTTGAGGAAATTGAGACACAGAGAGGTTAACTGTCTGCCCAGAGTCACACAGGAAGACAATGGTAACGACTGGAATGGAATCCAGATTTCCTGACTCCGAGTTCTCCGCTCTGACCACTAGACATTGCTGCCTCTTCTACCTTTTTAAAAGCACCATGTGTGAGCTCTGGAAATGTAAAGAAGGGTCAAGCACAGGCGACTGGTGCACTGAGGTCTGGGGGAGGCAGGCTTCCAGCTCCACCTACATCCCCGCCCCCTCTGCCGAGGCCCTGCCCCCCACAGCGAGGGGAGGAGGCGGGGCAGCATGCCAAGCGCACCCCAGCATCTCTGGAGCACCGGGGAGATGAAGAGAGATGAGGGAGCACATGCGGGGCACAGCTCCTCACCCCCAGCCTCTCTGGCCAGAAGCACAGGGAGGGCAGGTGCTGGGGCCAGCAACACTCCACCCCCAGAACGCCTATAGCAGGTGTTTTGGGGGCGGAGTGTGGGTGTGGCCTTGCCTGGTGGTTTGGGAAGGCAAAGCCTTCCCCCGCCTAGGCTACCCGACCCCTATGGAATCAAGGAAAAAGACTTGAAAACGTTTCTGCAAAAGGAAACAAATGTCTTTGTCTCCAACACAGATGTGATAAAGGGAGATGAATTTGATGAGCCCATACTAACACAGTGATGTAAAACATGGCTGGCTACAAATGTGGCAACTGGAGAAGCGAGGGCTCAAATACAGGAAAGCCTATAAAGGACTCATGAAAGGGACGCTATGGAGGAGCTCTGATAATCACTTTAATAAACAAGATGATTATAAAGAATCCCAATAGACAGAAATGAAACCTTGATGAGACCAGCATCTACTCCCAGCTCTACCTTGTACATGTCTGATGTCAGAACTGACTGCACCCGTCTCCTTTTCTTGATTTTCAATCTTTGTCTTCAAACCCTTGATCTCCCTGCGTAGATCTGAAATGATGCTGGTGTACTGTGCAATGTGATAGGAAACATTCAGCAGGTTGCGTTTGACCTGGTGGATGAGAACACACAGGATCATTAATTCTTTCCTAGAATCATAGGACACTAGAACTGGAAGGGACATCGAAAGCTCATCGAGTCCAGTCCCCTGCCCTCGCGGCAGGACCAACCACCGTCTAGAGGTCTAGACCATCCCTGATAGATGTCTATCTAACCTGCTCTTAAATATCTCCAGAGATGGAGATGCCACAACCTCTCTAGGCAATTTATTCTAGTGTTTAACCACCCTGACAGTTAGGAAGTTTTTCCTAATGTCCACTTTATCCTCCCCCACTGCAGTTTAAGCCCATTGCTCATTGTCCTATCCTCAGAGGCCAAGGAGAACAATTTGTCTCTCTTCCCCTTGTAACACTCCTTTAGGTACTTGAAAACCGCTATCATGTCCCCGCTCCATTTTCTCTTTTCTAAAATAAACAGGCCCGATTCTTTCAGTCTTCCCTCATAGTTCATGTTCTCTTGACCTTTAATCATTCTTGTTGCTCTTCTCTGGAGCTTCTCCAATTTCTCCACATCTTTCTTGAAATGCGGTGCCCAGAACTGGACACAATACTCCAATGGAGGCCTAATCAGCACAGAGTAGAGCGGAAGAATGATTTCTTGTGTCATGCTCACAACACTCCTGTTAATGCATCCCAGAATCATGTTTGCTTTTTTTGCAACAGCCTCACACTGTTGACTCATATTTAGCTTGTGGTCCACTATGATTCCTAGATCCCTTTTGGCAGTACTCCTTCCTACACAGTCGCTTCCCATTCTGTATGTGTGAAACTGATTGTACCTTCCTACGTGGAATACTTTGTATTTATCCTTATTAAACTTCACCCTATTTACTGTGAAAGGAAGGTGTTGAGGCCTACCCAGAATATGTCAAATGAGCACCAGTTTAATTGTAATTGGAAAGGAAAGGCAGCATTGTGAGATACAGAAGATGTAAAATAAAAACAAAATGTAATTGGATGACCAACAATAACCCCGCTTTTAGGGAAGTAAGTAACTCAGACAGCAATATGCAACAACGTGCTGATTACCCCAAATGGAGCAGACGAAAGTTTTGAAAGGGCAGAATAAGACAACAAAAATCTAACGTCAGCAATTGTCAGGAGAGTGGAGGAATACCAAAATACCGAAACAGGGTATACAAGGTTGGATGGAACAGACCAAGGACGGACGGGTTGCGAATCCAAAAAGCTAGGTCTAATCAACCAGGACTCCCTCCCCAGCGCTCAATCCCACTGTCACACATAAGCTCCGAAAGAGGAACAACACCGGTCAAAAGCTGCAACGAAAACATCCAAAAAAGGGGAAACATAAAGAAAAGAATATCTCCTGAATCTAAGCAATGCTTCTATCTTTCTTAACATGCGTATTATATATTTATTAACTTTATAAATTGATTAAAGGTAAATCAGGAGGGTATATCAGTAGGAGGAGTTATTATTTCTTGTTTTTTTAACTGTACTGTTTTTCTACTTTTTATTTGTATATTACACTTTCTTAAAAGAATCAAAGATAGTAAATTAATTTACATGAAAAATTAATTATACAGGCAGTCCCCGAGTTACGCGGATCCGACTTACATCGGATCCGCAGTTACGAACAGGGCCCGTCTCCAGCAGACCAGGGAGAGGAAGCAAAGTGGCGGAGCATGCGGGGGCAGCACTTACAGGTCCCCATTATGGGGGTTGACGGATCTCATTCCTTGTCTTCACTGTGTTGAAGTACTAGTCTAAATGTAAATTCTAATTTAAAATAAAGTTTAAATTGAAATGTGTCTCTTTCATGGTCATCAACATATGCATGTGACTGCATTCATCATTCACTTCTGGTCTGCATATATTAGTCACTTGCAATTATGTTTGGTTGAGGAAAGGAAAACTCAGAACTTAAAGGGTTTTCAGCATTCTCTTTTGAATGACTACTTTTTCAGCTAGTGATACTATCTCTATTTTTTTTTTTTTTTTTTAGTTTTGAAGGTGCTACAGGACCTTTTGTTGTTTTTTAAAGTGTATTTACTATTTCAGAATTACCATCTGAATTAGAATCATCAAATGCAAAATTAATTCCGATTCAGATGAATACTCAACTGCACTTTCAGAATACAATTTTGAGTCTTTGTCATGAATCGGATCCGTTATTCATGATGCAATATTTTGGCAATTAAACTATGGTTGAGTAATCACTGGAATTATCTTGGCAGCATAAGGACGGGATGAAATAATTGGAGTCTGCTCTTAGCACAATGAATATTGAGATTTTACCTTTAGTACAGGCAGTCCCCGGGTTACGTACAAGATAGGGACTGTAGGTTTGTTCTTAAGTTGAATCTGTATGTAAGTCGGAACTGGTGTCCAGACTGATCAGTTTCAGCAGCGGCTGAATCTGGACGCCAGTTCCGACTTACATACAGATTCAACTTAAGAACAAACCTACAGTCCCTATCTTGTACGTAACCCGGGGACTGCCTGTAAAGTATATAGAAAAATAAAAATCTTTGTTTAACCCTAAAAAGAAGTATTCCTCTGTCTGCGGTTTCAAATTCTTTAAGGAACCAAACCTGGTTACCGAAGTTTACCTTAGACCATTTCTCCAGTTTGTTCAGATCATTTTCCATTATGACCCTATCCTCCAAAGCAGTCGCAACCCCTCCCAGCTTGGTATCATCTGCAAACTTAATAGGCATACTCTCTATGCCAGTATCTAAATCATTGATGAAGATATTGAACAGAACCGGTCCCAAAACAGAACCCCACTTGTTATACCTTTCCAACATGACTGTGAACCATTAATAACTACTCTCTGGGAACGGTTATCCAGCCAGTTATGAACCCTCCTTACAGTAGCCCCATGTAAGTTTGCATAGTTTATTGATGAGAAGATCATGCCTGACTGTATCAAATGCCTTACTAAAGTCTAGGTATACCATGTCCACCACCTCTTCCTTATCCACAAGACTTGTTACCCTATCAAAGAAAGCTATTTCTTTCATTGTAGCACAATGGCTGTCAAATAAAATATCCCTTCCTAAGAGAGGAGCCCAGTCACAGAAAGGGATTCAGTTCCCCTCAATCAATGGGATAACTGTAGATAACTGGCTATCTATCTTCCTCATGCAGGCCTTTCCATTGCCCACACCAATTGCCTTTCATTTTCACAGTCTCCATTCACTCCTTTCTGCTTGCTCATTGCTACCCTGTCCAACACCCACTATGTTCTGTGATCCTCTCTCTCGTGATGGTATCTACCCACTGCTCCTTGCCATACCCATTGCTGTCTTCCTTCCATCACACTCTCCCTTTCCATTCTGTCTGCTTCCCCGTCCTTTCAGCCACCATGTTGCCAACTCCCTGCCTTTCCAATCAGGCTACCTTTCTCCTCTCCCGTCAAGCCTTTCAACATTGACATGGAGCGAACCATCTGCCCTTTCTCTCCCCTATCACACACTGAATCCTCCTTTCCCAGCCCATTATCTTTATCCTCCTCCCACCCGTCCCACCCCCCCATCCTGGCCTGTTTTTAGTCTACATGATTTAGCTCTTGGAGGGCCTGTTGCTTACCCTTGTCTTGATGTTTTTCGCTCGATAAGCATAGATCAAGGTTGTTCGAGATTCTTCAAAGTAGATGCTGGCAGGACTGATGTGGGCAATCATAACTGTCCTGCTATTTCCCCCTAAGGAGTCCTAGAGGAATACAACATTGCCAGTGTTTAGTTTAACAAGAGTAGAGACTAGGAAAGACACTAAGTGAAAACACGCCGACCTTAAAGAAACACTAATTGAGTTTTCCCTGCTTGTTTTTCCCTTTGATATTTTCATTCTCTCTGCTCCTTGTTTCGTGCTCCCTTCTCTTTTTCTTTCCCCCCTCTCCCTTATTTATTTTGGTCTACACATCCTAAACTCATAACTCTGGTCATCTGAAGAAGTGGGCTGTGCTCACAAAAGCTCATGATCCCATCTACATGTTTTGTTAGTCTATAAAGTGCTACCAGACCTTTTATTGTTATTTAAGTTTATCCTGTACAGACTAACTCGGCTACCCCTTGAAGCTACTAATTAAGATGTTCATTTAGATTCCGATGGAGGATATTGACTAAAGGCTATAGGAAGAGCTGGTCAAAAAATTTCACTGAAACTTTTTTCCAATAAACAAAAAGCTTTTTTGACTAACTGGGAACTTTTGCTGGAAAATCTCTACAATACCAAAAATGTTTCACATTTTTTATTTTAAAAAGTCTACATATTATTTTAAATAAACATTTTGTTTGTCTGTTTTTCACAGTATTGTGTGTTTACATATATTTTTCAACCAGCTGTAGCAGTAGGATCAACACCAAGTTGGGCTGAGATTCAGACCCAAACCAATGAAAGCACGCTGGGACTCATAAACAAAGACAGCGAATGGCCCTTGTTACTCAGAAACCTTTAAAGTTTATCATGTGACCAATAAGAGCACACTAGTCCAGGACTTCCAAACCTTGACCTTTCATTTTTGTGGTAATATGGCCACAATAAATTACTGGGTGGGTTTGAAATCCCACACAAGATCCTGGAGTGATTTCCTAAACTTTGGAAGGATAAAAGGGTCAAGACATGATGATTAGCTCTCAAGCGTCGCCAGTACAAGCAAGCAACATGTCAATTCCCTTCCTCACCAGTTGCAAACAGTACCTTCAACAAGCGTGTGAGTTTGCTGTCTCGAAAATTGACATACTGGCCCCGACTTCCCCCCTTCTCACTCAAGGCACTGATGCAGTTCCCCAGAGCTAGCAGAGAGCGGTTGATATGGGCTCCCTCCTTCATTCTCTTGCCATGGTTCTGAGTCTGCTTGGAGTGAAAGAGAAGTCACTTCAGAAAGACAGAGTTGTACTGTGGGAATGGATTGACTCATGCAACGTTAATATCAGGATTCGCGTTTCAAAGCTTGAGCTTCTCTCACAAATCGAGATGGAAACCAGGACCAGTCAGCTCTGACACAAGCGGGTACCACTGAAAGCTCACAACAGAACTGAATGGCCCCCGGTCTCCATTAGATGTTTTGCATAAACTGAAAATTACCCACCCATGGTTTGTTTTCTGCAAATAGGGTTGCAGATCATGGCAGATCTAACATCTTTCTGTGGAAACATCTTTCCATCCATTCATTCCAATATTGCTCTCCGCAACTGCCAATCATTTCTGTGTCTCTCTTTGATACCCAACAATAATGCCTAGCTATATATAGCATTTATCATCAGTAGATCCCAAAGCACTTTACAAAAGAAGTCAGCATCACGCTATGCATTTTACGGGTGTGGAACCTGAAGAGCAGAGAGGTGAAGTGACTTGCCCAAGATCACCAGCAGGCCAGTGGGCAAGCCAGGAACAGAACCCAGGTCTCCTGAATCTAAGTCTGGGGCTCTGATTGCATCTAGCCAGCTGCTTGTCCCACCCTTCTTGTCATCAGCCCTTCCACTGATTCATCAATTTTTCCTTCAACTAAGAGAAGTCCAAGCCAAGACCTGAATGCTGCATATAACCCCTGGAGTCTTATGACACAGTCCATCACCAGCCAGCCTCGTCGTACATTTGCAGGGTGAGGACAACCTAACCATTTGTAGATCTTTACTGCTGATTAATTCAAATAGCAACAGATTTATATTCAACTTTCTAAAAGTTAAGGCAAATGCCATGCCATGTAGTGTGTTTTGTTTTGTTCATCCTGCCCATTGCACAGCGTTTATAGGTCTATTTATTTTCTACTTTAAAATTTCATAAACATGCAATTTTATTGCAGTTCTTGGGCTTTTGGCCAATTGTCATGGTAGCCTTTAGTACTGCAAAATTTGCTCTAACTATTGATCTGGTTACCTTTTCTTCAGTATCTTCTTCCATCCATCTAACTATCATCTATCCCCATAAAGTGGTAATGAAGAGTACCAGGGAACAGTGGTTAAAGCTTTCAGTTCTCCTGCTTGTCTGCCCGCCATATTTAACCTGTCTATCCTTCAAATAATTCATTGTCCTCCATCCTCTTTTCTCTCTTCTCTTCCTTCCTGTAAACCAATGTTCCACGTATTCTATTTATTTTGGCTTCCATCTATCTGACCTTCCATCCCTTTGTCCTCTAGCTACCTACTTATTTATACTTTCTTTGTCAATGACACTAATCTATCATTCTGCATAGCTGCCACTTTTTAAAAGATATTTTCAAATTCACATATTTTGCAATGATTCATGCACTAAGATGAAACATTCTTGCTCTCATCTCCTGCTTCTCTCATCTGTATTTCCTCTATGCCATCAATGAAAAAATATTCACAACTGTCTTTATAACAGCCCACATATCAATACACAGCAACCAAAGTTCAACAACACACAAAAGACAAAGTTCAAATGCATTTAGCTAATTCATGCTCTAAAAAGTACATGGCTCACATCATCTGAATGGAAATGTAATCTCAGTGTTTTAAAAATATCAAATGCTCGTGCAGTAATGTTTTCCAGGAGAATAACACATATCAATCTTTCATATCTAGTCATTTCACAACACGTCAAAGAAATAAGACTTGGCCTGTGAAAGGCTGCTGAACTACAAATTGTACCTGGGCTGCTCTTTCAGACCCTGCCAAGTCCACCATGAAAAGCCTTCCCACTCGCAATTCCTCATTAATATCTTTCACCCGACTCTTTTGTTTCACTGTGACCTGGAGGACCGCATGTGAGCGGGAGGATGTCTTATTGGCAGTTGTGGGTTCTTGTGTACGCTCTTTGTTTCCTTTTGTTAGCAGCTGCATAATCTAAACAATACAGAAACATATGCAGAACTTTAAAGATCTGCTTAGGCAATAGGACAACTCTCTCCTTCAATGACAGCCTTACAGATGAGTAAACAAAGAAGATAAACCAGCCTGCACATTTGTCAGCATTGGACCAAGTTTGGGCCTCACTGAAGTCAATGGGAGTTTTGTCTGTGGCCCCATTGGGACCATGACCTGTCCCATTGACTAATAACTGTATAATTATTGGGGTTTCACTTTAGGTGGCTTTACGACGGGCTGAGATATGTTCTTCTGGGATGCACCATGCCTTGGCATGTTATCTCATGTTCAGTGCAAAACAAGATAGCATGGCATAACAGAATATAGTAACATGATTCTCCCTACCCCTGGTAGCATGGCATAACCTTAGAAAAATAGCAAATGAAAGCTCAAGTTAAAGTACTAACGTAACTTACTATACAGTGCATGTCAGCGAAAGCATGCTTGAACCTTCTCCTCTCTACTCTCAAACTATTGTGTTTGATAGGGCTTGTGAACACAGGTCCTGGCATTCCTTCACTTAGGGCCGTGGTCACCAACAGGTCGATCACGAGCTACTGGTCGATCTCGAGGCCTCAACCAGTAGCTCGCAAGGCGTCCTGTCCGCCTCGCCCCCATTTCCCTCCCACCCCCCAGAAGCCCCACTACTTACCTCAAGAGGTAGTGTCGGCTTCAGAAGTCCCGCAGCTTAGCGCCACTTCCGGCAATGCCAGAAGTGCGCTAGCTGCTCTGCCGGCCCCCTGCACCGCACAGGAGGGGTGAGTCAGCCCCGCGGGAGGCACTCAGGGGGTTTCCTGGTGCGGGGGGGTTGGCACTATTAATTTCTGTAGGCTTTGTCCCAGGCTCAGATTTTAATGATTTGGAGCACTATTGACTTAACATTCATACCTAGTAGGGAAATGAAAGTGATTCTGCTCTGCTTCCGGTTTATACCTTTTTTCCCCAACCCTCATCTTGTCTGTTTTGATAATAAGAAACAATCCTTGTCCCTAAAAAGTTTACAATATGGTTTCATAATGCCTAGTAGACAGGGACCCTGATTTTGGGTGAAGCCTGTATGCATTACCATAACATCTTTAATAAATAATAATATATCATCCTTAGTAGGCAATATCTTATACTGAGATTTCACCCCAGAAAATACTCAAATGTACAGTATATAATATTCTTCCACATTTATTAGATGGCTACCTCCATTAAACAACTGGTTTTTGCCAATGCTTTTGTACTAGTCACATATAGCTGAGATACTTCTGCTAATTTAAGCATGAGGTTATTTTATTGGACACAGGAAGAGGAATTAATAGTAGCTCTTGGAATCACCAGTGCAAAGTTGGTGAAGCTAGGTGCATAAAGCAGGATATATAAAGGGGATAGTAAATGGGGAATGAGAGCCCCAAAAGCTCCTGTGTTTTGAACTACAGGCAGTCCCCGGGTTACGTACAAGATAGGGACTGTAGGTTTGTTCTTAAGTTGAATCTGTATGTAAGTCAGAACTGGAGGTCAGTTTCAGCAGTGGCTGAATCTGGACGCCAGTTCCGACTTACATACAGATTCAACTTAAGAACAAACCTACAGTCCCTATCTTGTACGTAACCCGGGGACTGCCTGTAGTTCAAAACACAGGAGCTAGACCACTGACTTAGGGTATGTCAGCACGGCCACTAGACACCCACAGCTGGCCTATGCTAGCTGATTCAGACTTGTGGAGCTTAGGGTCTGTTTTATTGCTGGGTGGACTTCTGAGCTTGGGTTGGGGCACAGGTTCTAGGACCCTGTGAGGTGAGAGGGTACCAGAGCTCAGAAATCTACACAACAATGGAATATAGTTCCACAGCCTGAAAACTACAGCCAAGTCAGCTGGCATGGGCCAACTGCAAGTTTTTTCTTTGCTGTATAAACATACCCTTAGCTTACTATTGACCCACATGGCTGATCTTTACTGCTTCGTGATGGATTTCATTCATGTTTCTACTATGCTTGTGCTTGCCTGATTAGCCCTTCCTGAACAATCCACGTCATCAAGTAAGTCACTGTAGGATCCTGTTCCATGAGAGGTCTTACACCAAGGAAGGTTATGCCAATATGTAGGTGTTGAGAGCCTCTTAAAATATTAATCTAGTTCAGCAAACTCTTCCCTCCCCGTGGAATTTCTTTTGAATTTACCTCCTGTGCATTTGTAGTGGAGACTTCAGTAATTCCCGCTATCTGGATGCTACCTCTAGCATCCTCTCTGAGGTCTAGGAATCCAGAGGATGGATTCAGGAGGTCCCGGATCACTTCATTATAAATCTGAGGGTAGAAGAGAAAAGCAAAGGAAATTTGTATGTTTGCAGTGCTTTGTCCTTAGGTTAGCAATAAAGGCTTGTGTATTATTCAAAATATATTGTGCATTGCATTGGCTTGATACTTTTTGTATTTCCCTGGACAGGAGAGGAGAGGCTGGCTGAGCTACACTCCCTGCATGGGTGAGACAGGAGATAACAGTGATAACATGAATGAATGAGTCAGGAAACGGGCTCAAATGCCTGTTATCACTGAGAGCTGTCACAGAAATAATGGCAAAGATACTGCTTTTGCTTTACATTTTTGTTACAGGGAGTATGAGCCTGCCCATTCCTCACCTCGCTCTCTTTATCAACTCCTTTATGTATCTTAAATTGAGTGTAATGCATTTGTCCCTGTCCCCAGTGTGAGTCACCAGAAGGGAATGAGCCTGGGTTTATCAGAAGCGTAGGCCTTTACCACTTAAACCAAAAGCATAACTATTAACCAGTAAAAGTAGAGGATAAGAACCTACTACGTGAACCAGCCTTTCTAGGGAGAAATGTCACCTTTAGCCAGCATGTTATGCATTAGAATAAAAAATAAAGAAACAAGAATTTGAGACTCAAGGTGGGGATCACCATCAGGGAAAGATGCAGGAGGCCTGACTCTGGATTCCCAGGTGCTAAGAGTTAGAGCTTCTTCCAGTAACAGTGTCCCTAAGCTATTCTTTTTAAGCATCGTCTCTACAGAACTGGTCCAGAAGACAAAGACATCTCACCTCCAGGTACGACATGGAGACGGTGTAATCCATGTTTTCACTAGTTGCCTCAATGGCTTTAAAGAGGTCATTTAGAGTGCGGATGTAGATCCCAGGATCACTGTCTGTCCCTAACATAGTGTAGGTTTTCCCGGCACCTGTGAATATACAGGGTAGAGCAGCACAGATCAACTTTGAGAGAAAAAATACCTTCTACTGTAATCCATGGCAGAGTTTAACTGCAGCCAGGTCTGACTTCCTGTGTTCACCACAAGAGAAGCCCTTTTTCCTCCCACCCTTTTTATAATGAAATATTCCTCTCCAATGAACTGCACACATAACTTAAATATATTTTCAGACTTTGCTTTGCTTTAACTTTTAAAGGCTTCGCTTTAACTTTTAAAGCGTCATATGTCCCAGCCAGAATGGTATTTTTACTACTCAGGTCTCAGCTATGAAGTGATCAATTAACTGGACTTGTTACTCCAGATCAAGTCCCCTATTGTTATTGCTTCTCCACTCTGGCTCCAAATCCAAACTTTGCAGTTATTGCCCCCCTGTGGTATACTATTTTATTCATGTTACCTGTTGGGCCATATGCAAAAACAGTTGCATTGTATCCAGAAATGACTCCATCTACCAAAATGTTGGTTGTGGACACGTACACCTCCTCCTAGTCATAGTCAGAAACAACATAGGTCATAGGTCAGGCAAAACAATCATTTCTAGCTGACACAAGTACCCAATGTCTAAACTTACCGCAACATTCATCTCTTGTTCTTTACAGTTCGCTCGGACATTCATTTTTGCTTCACAAATTCTGTGGGCCCCAAAACTATTTCTGGCTTCATAGTACAAAAAGATTTTTGCCAAATTATCAAAATGACTTAACAAGGTAGAGATCTTGTTGAACTATCCAAACATGCATGTGGTGCGTCAGGGTCCAAAAACAAAGTTTGATTATTTTCTTAGATTTTTAATTGGGAACATTTCATTTAGATTCTTTGCATCAGTGGAAGACAGACAAAAATAATATTTGTGATCACGTCCTCCATGCTTCAGCAGACACTATTATGTTCATAACATGCACATAGAGGAGTTAGATATAAACACAAATACTCTTGCTGGAAGGTTGCAGTGTAACACTACTTTATTTTTTAACATTCAGCACACATAAGAAGTGACACCATTTGTTCTAGCACACAGTTCATTGCAGACACTTTTTAAAAAAGATACGTTACTATAATATAACCACAGATGTGGAAGATACATACAACAGAGATAAAAGATGAGGGTACACATGCTGCATTCACATATAACACATTTGCATAAATATACAATATGCTAATCATAAAATTGTATAAGAGGAAGTATAAAGGATCTGTCACCCACTCATCTGAGATAGCTGCACTACTCAAAAGAACTAAGGCCATGTGTGTAAAACCACAGTGCAGGGCTACTCAACTTTGGAATGATACTCACAGCACATGCCGGAGGGCCACAACTTAAGTGTGGTTCCATATACATGGAAATATATGCAAATATATGCAAATCGCTTCTTTCACACTGACAAACATGAATACAAAGATTAAGGCAAGACTATACCACACACAGGCCACATTTAAGTCAGTTCTGCTGATATTAATAAAATGCAATATTTACCCGATGTCCACTCATATGACAGCATTTTTAGTGAGCAATGACAGTCCAGGAATTTAACTACTAAAACGCATATTAACAAAAGACCATTATATTGACTATTTTTTTGTTTTGGCTCCCACTCACGGGCCGCATGTTGAGCCCTGCATAAATCCAAACCGTACCATGGGCCACAAACAAACGGGCCATGGGCTGAGTAGCCCTGCCATAGTGTACAAGACATATACAGCCTGGCATATCATTAGCTATATGTTAAATATGCTAAAGAAATATTCTTTATAAAAATGTATTAGAACTATTTCTTGTATCCCTTGTTCATAAAACCAGGCACCTTAGCAGGAATTGGCCATGAAAGGAGAGTAAAATTAAAATTCATAATTGTAAAATCTTCAAAAATGATCTAGCACAGATTTGCTTTGCAAATCTAAAGTCTTTAGAGCTTTGCACTGCTCTAAAGTCCAATGCCTCTGGACCTTCCATGGCTAGAAGCAGAGGCTATGTCTTGGTGAAAGTTGGAATTTCCTCTTCCTGAGGGTATAAAGCTCTTATTCCCCTATTTCTCTCCCCATGGGACTGTGAGCTATTGACATTTAATGCAGTGACATTTTTATTGTAAAACTGCAGACTGAATCTTGTCCATCCTGGACTTAGACAAAGGTATTATTCCACATGCAGGGGGAGCCCATAGGGAATCCTCCTCTGGCAGGCTGTTCGAACAGGAATAAAGATGTAAGTGGTCATAACTCCATTGCCTTCAACATAGCCGTGACTCTTTATACCAGCTGTGGCTCTTCCCCAAAGTGTCTGTTTGAAACTGCTACCAGGTTGGGAATATTAAAAGAAGCACCAGGCATGTCACCTCTACACACCCATGCAGTGTTCTCCAGGGTGTGTAAGTCTGGAGTGAGCTGCCAGAAGCAGAACCGAGAAGCCAGACCATCTTCAGAACATGCTGGGATGCCCATCTAGTTAACAAGCTTTCCCAGGGATGTTAAGGTGTCAGGGACACCCTAACAAGAGAGGTAATAAAGAAGAATATTCTAGAAGACTTCCTAGAATCTCCACCATGGAGTCATTTCTGGATCACATATTGTGGCGATTACACACTTGGGCTACGTCTACATTGGCCCCTTTTCCGGAAGGGGCATGGTAATTTTTGAAATCGCAATAGGGAAATGTGCGGGGGATTTAAATATCCCCCAGGGAAATCCGCGGGGGATTTAAATATCCCCCGCGGCATTTAAATAAAAATGTCCGCCGCTTTTTTCCGGCTTTTAGAAAAGCCGGAAAAGAGCGTCTACACTGGCCCCGATCCTCCGGAAAAAGCGCCCTTTTCCGGAGGATCTTATTCCTACTTTGAAGTAGGAATAAGATCCTCCGGAAAAGGGCGCTTTTTCCGGAGGATCGGGGCCAGTGTAGACGCTCTTTTCCGGCTTTTCTAAAAGCCGGAAAAAAGCGGCGGACATTTTTATTTAAATGCCGCGGGGGATATTTAAATTCCCCGCGGATTTCCCTATTGCGATCTCTGAAATTAACATGCCCCTTCCGGAAAAGGGGCCAGTGTAGACGTAGCCTTGTTGGCTGCTTAGTAGGGATGTAAACGACTAGTTGACTATCTGATAAGCAAAGGCTATCCCTCGACTAGTTGCTTCCCCCACCCCAGCTGCCTCCATCTATCAGAAGGGACCTAAAAGCCTTTTAAATCTTATTCTTAAAAGCTAGTTCCCCCAATACTGTCTCCGCAGGGGAGTAGGGGGACCAGGTGCGAGCCGGGAATCAGCTGCTTTTAAAAAGTATTAAGAGCCAACAGACTCTTAATCCTTTTAAAAGGCTGGGGTGCAGCGGGGGGAGGATCCTTCACAAGCAGGGAATCAGCTGTCTTGGCTCACGCTCGGTCCCTCCTGCTGCGCTTTAGCTTTTTAAATGGATTAATAGCCAACAGGGTCTTAATCCATTTAAAAGGCAGAGCCGCAGTGGGGTTAGCTCCCAGGCCAGGCACTAACCCCACTGTGGTTCCCCACTTATCAACTTTAAAAAAAAAAAGCCTCACTCACAAACACAGGGGAAAAGCAAACAAAGAAAACCAAAAAAAGAACACACGCCAACCCTCACTCATAAATACAAGCTCAGCACACAGCAAGAAAGCCCCAAACACAACACATACTTCCCTCAAGAGTCCTGTATCTGCTTCTCCTCTACCTGGAGAAATCCCTCTCTAAAGCCTCACTCAAAAACAGAAGGGAAAAGAAACAAACAAACAAACAAAAAACCACCACCACCACACACGAACAAACACAAGCTCAGCACACAGTAAGAAAGCCCCAATAACAACAAACACTTCCCTCAAGAGTCCTGTATCTGCTTCTCCTTTGCCTGGAGAACTCCCTCTCTAAACTCCCTGTTAACAGTTGATTAAATTTAACATTCCTACTGCTTAGAAGATATTATGATGGCAGGCGCCCACAGTAAATCCTTAGGTAAATAAATTGTGACGTCTTGATATCACTGCAATAGACGCGTTAGACAATTGCCGATAGGCAGAACAAATAACTTGCCTAGCGTAAATTATTTCATACGTTCATCCGTTTCTCAGGCCATCTTCCCCCATCCATCCCAGCACACAGCTGTGTGAATCAGTTCTATCTGCTGAACAAGGGCTCAGGAACTTGCCTCTTATTACAGAGCTTCATCCATACAAAACAAAAAAAGATTGAGAGGAGCACACAGAATAGAAGGACCCATGAGGTGACTGTGACCTCATCCACCAGATAAGAGCATGTTGTATACTGCAGATCACAATAAAGATGAGAGAACCTTTGCAGCTAGCCTCTACTTAGCGCTGCTACCTTTTCACTGGACACCAAGTGGATTTTGGGATGCACAGTATTATTCACATGGTCAGACCAAATATCCATGGAAAGGAAAGATTCCCAATTGTAAACCACGCTATAAACCTTTTGGAAGAGGAGGGAACGTTACTCACCTGGGTTGCTTTGTGGTCAAAAACCATATCAAATATAAATGTCCTCTCTCGGGATCGATTTGCTCGCAAGATGTCATCTGGACCTTCACTTGGGTCCATTAGAAGAACCATCTGTTACAAAATAGAGAGAGAGAGAAAATCTTTGCATCCTTAATTGGGTCTCATCTGATCACCAGCTGAGGTCACACGGGTAACTAGCAATTATGGCAGAAGACCACCCTCTACTGTGAATAAGAGAAAAACTAACCCCCTTCCATTTTTATTGTTAGGGAAGAGGCTGGGCACTGGAATATTCCCAGCCAATGTGGGAACCATAAAAGAAACAAATTACAGGGATCAAAACTGCATGAGGAAAATCCCCCAAAACCTTTCCTAAGTAGGGATCAGGAGATGTATCAGCTCAGTTCAAGGCCAGAAACTTGGTCCTTTAAAAAAAAAACTTTTATTAGAAAAAGGAGAGTGGAAAAAGGGAAGGTGGAAAGAAAAATATTTTATGGCATGTTAGAAAACAGGTTTCGTTTCTCTGATTCCCTTGGGACCAATTTTGCTTACTCACGTAAATACATAATTACGGTGGAAAAAGCATATTCCTTCCGCTCTGCTGGAACAGCTCATAGGAGGTGTACTGGTCACAAGGGGGATTACTTAAGAGAAGGGGAGATGGGAAACCATGCACCATATCCTCCAGAGAAACTTTTGCCATCTCTCAGATAAATACCTAATTAAGTGCTTACACCAACCACCTGATCTACAGAAGAGTTACGATGTTTGGTTGTTTCTCTAAAACTCTGCTCACTGTAGTAAAATCATGTAACTAGATAAGAAACAAATCCCCAATAGCTGGTCTGGAAACATCAAGAGCTTGGCTTGGTTTTCTATCCCACTCCTGCCCTTTCCAAAATTCCAAAAAATATACAGTAAATATCCTAGGAGAATTACTTGTATGATTTAATTTGCTAGAGAAAACTATTTTTGAGCTATGCAGAAGACAAATAATTACAATTAGTAAATATCTAAGGGCAAATTCCTGATTTGTGCCCACAATCTGTAACTGCACATGCAAAGTGGGTAAATGCATAAGTGTCTGTGTGATTTAACACTAGATTCCACCCATGCAACTGGGCACAGAGAATTTATTTTAGGCATTTTCTTTGGAAATGGGGGCTTTAATCAGGGGGTCGACATGGAGCTGCCCCCTAGGCAAGGGTGGGGCAGCTTCATGCTCCTGGAAAGGGTGGGGTCTTGGATGGAAGGGGCAGGGCTGGGGCATCCAGCTGCAGGTGGCACTGAGGCTGTGCCATGCTGCGCCTCCTCTCCCCCAACCAGCCCTCAGAGATGTCTGGAGCGCAAAGCCCAGTGTGCTGGTGGCAGTTGAAAGGGCTCAGAGCTCCGGTTATCACAGTAGTTGTGGCAGTGCCTGGGAACCCTCGGCCCTTCTGAATTGCTGAGCTCCAGGTCAGTTCCTCACTTGCCCCTACCCACCTGTCAGCTGTCCTGGACTGATTTTATGTGAGGTCGGAACCAGGGTATCAATATTGTTTATATTACCTCACTTTAAAGTTTATTTTTAATTAGACAGCAAAAATAAAGTTAGTTTTCTTGGTCCAGGGTTAATGTCTTGTTTGACAGGCATTGTGCAAACACAAAATTACAAACCATTCACTAGTAGCTGAAACAAAATACAGGACTATGTAGCACTTTAAAGACTAACAAGATGGTTTATTAGGTGATGAGCTTTCGTGGGCCAGACCCACTTCCTCAGATCAAATTGTGGAAGAAAATTGTCACAACCATATATACCAAAGGATACAATTTAAAAAAATGAACATATATGAAAAGGACAAATCAAATTTCAGAACAGAAGGAGGATGGGGGGGAAGGTAAATGTCTGTGAGCTAATGATATTAGAGGTGATAATTGGGGAAGCTATCTTTGTAATGGGTTGTAATGTATCTTTGTAATGTAATACCCATTACAAAGATAGCTTCCCCAATTATCACCTCTAATATCATTAGCTCACAGACATTTACCTTCCCCCCCATCCTCCTTCTGTTCTGAAATTTGATTTGTCCTTTTCATATATGTTCATTTTTTTAAATTGTATCCTTTGGTATATATGGGTGTGACAATTTTCTTCCACTATTTGATCTGAGGAAGTGGGTCTGGCCCACGAAAGCTCATCACCTAATAAACCATCTTGTTAATCTTTAAAGTGCTACATAGTCCTGTATTTTGTTTCAGCTACACCAGACTAACACGGCTACATTTCTATCACTCCTCATTCACTAGTAAATTGTACTGGCACGTTTCATTTTAGGCATCAGCAAATGGGTGGAAATAGCTCCCAGAAAATTATACTTGTGGTCTGAATAGTAATGTTATCTAAGAAACCAGAAAGGATATTAGACTGCCAAAGAACCCATGTTCACGTCATCTGTTACAGTCATTTTCTTGGCTGACACAGACACATTCTCCAGGGTAAAAAATATCCTTAAGCCAATGCAATCTCTGAATCTTTCCCTGTCCACTGGAGGAAAATAGACCACAAGGCTGGTGAGAGGGTCTCTAACTAAGCTATACAGAAACAAAGTTTGTGACTGAGCCAGCATGCTGGCCTTTAAAGAATGCTGTTCCACAAATAACTCATAAAATAATTTGTACAGGGGGAAAAGAGATGTGTGCCCTTTGCACTTGCTTATGGCGTAAAAGGCAGCCAGAATATTTCATAACAGTTCATTATTCCCCATGATACAGATCTGAAGTCTACTCATTTGGAATTCCATATGCAAAACTGGTCACCCATCTCAGCAACACTAAGGCACAATTAGAAGGAGTTCACAGAATGCTGATTAAACTGATTAGGGATCTAGAGAAAATCTCATCTGAAGAGAAATTGAAAAGAATGGGATTGTTTGCCTTAGAGAGATGGTGATGAATAAGAGGAGCATGATAAAAGACTATATAACAATGAAGGATCTACAGCAGTGTTTCTGAAAGTGCTCCGTGAAACCACTTGGAGAAACACATTAACTGGCCTCCCTGGTTTGTTTATTTACCTGTGCCGCGGCCACGGAGCCTCGCAGCTCCCATTGGCTCAGTTTTGTCCTTTGCAGCCAAGGGGAGTCACGGGAAGCGGCGTGGGCCAGGCCACCGCTTCCCGCTGCTCCACTTGGCTGCAAAGAGAGAAACAGAGCCAATGGGAGCTGTGGAGCTCCGTGGCCACAGTGCCAGTAAATAAACAAACCGGGGCAGCCAGTTAATGTGTTTCTCAAAGTGCTTTTGCAGAACACTTTCAGAAACACTGATCTAGAGAAGATGAACGGGGAGCTTCTGTTCTCCATTCTCATAACACGTGAACAATGGGGCATCCCTATGACATTAAAAGACAGCAAAAATTCAAAACTGATAAAAGGAAATATTTGTTTCACACAACATGTGCTGAACCTGTGGAACTCACTGCCGCATGACACTGTTAAGGAAAATAATTTAACAAGATTCAGAAACAGATAAGAACATAAGAATGGCCATACTGGGTCAGACCAACGGTCCATCTAGCCCAGTATCCTGTCTGCTGACAGTGGCCAATACCAGATGCCCTATAGGGAGGGAACCCAACAGATAATTCTCATGTGATCCCTCTCCTGTCACCCAATTTCAGACAAACAGAGGCTAGGGACACCATTCCTACCCATCCTGGCTAACAGCCATTGATGGACCTAACCTCCATGAATCTATCTAGCTCTGTTTTGAACCCTGTTGACAGGGCCGGCCTTAAGCCAATTTGGGCCTCGCGCCTAAGGGGGCCCCGCGCCCTGCACCCGGAAGTCAGCTCCCTCGGCTCGGCTCCCCCTTACCTGCACTGCGCATGCTGCCGGCTGCTGCTGCCGTGTGTGCTGTTTGCAGGTGGGCGGGGAGACACCCGGGCGTGACGTTACGTCACGCCGGGGATTTTAAAACTGAAAAGTGCCATGTCGCCGCGGCACACGCAGTTCGCAATCCAGCCCGGCAGAAGGTAGGGGAGCGGGAGCGGTGGGAGGGGAAGAGGCTTATGCGGAGGAGGAGGGGGGAAGAAAGGGGAGGGTACCAAGAGACAGGCTGGAGGAGAGACAAATGCCAAGGGGCCAAGTACAGACAATGAGGAAAAGGGCAGGAGGGGAGGTGTCAGTGGGAGG